GGGGCAGTGGCTGGGCAAACCTCAGCTCCAGCCCCAGCAGCTCAGCCGATCCATTTGAAATACACAGAAGCTCAAGTCAAGCAGGTGCTGAAAGGCCCTGGTCCCTGTCACCACCGCCCGCTCCAGGATTAGCAGGCTCGGCTGGACCAGGAACCAAACTGTGATTGATTTTTCTGTTCGGATGAGAAAAGGCAGTGCCCTCCATGGTGGGTGCCAGGACTCATCCGTGTGGGAAAGAGCTGGGACTTCCAAACGGCCGAGTGAGTGAGTTACACATCTGAAATCGCAATTCTTTCAACCTGGACCCTCAGCCGCCAGGGGCACCTCTCTCACCCGTCAAAGCCCTTAGCGGGGCTGTGCGTGCTCACTCTAGAGGCACAGCCGGAGGCCCAGGGGGTCCCTGCCTCTGGCTTTACAGATGGAAAACCAGGCCACTAGGCCAGGCCATCGGGCCAAGTTCCTGCAGCGACAGCACCCCTATTGGGAGCCACACGGAAGTCTCCTACGCCTATTAACACACATCTGTAGGAATCTGTCATACATACGATACACATGTGTGTACGCATTAGCGAGAAGTGGCTTTCTACAACCTAAAGACCCATGGAGGAGCGTGTTAACGAGGCCCTCGGTGAGCATCGTTCGCCAGGAGGGGAGGTGTAAGTCAGGGCAGAAGGCTCCCTGCAGGCAAAGCGAGCAGAAAGCTCGGCGAGCTGCTGGGAATGGGGCTGGGTGGGTCCCCCTGCCCAGGATGGCTGAGACCCGGGGGGGAGCAATGAGGGCCTGGGAGCAGGGCCCAGCCTGGTCCAGTCTGGTCCGAGCCTGTTCAGCGCTCAGTTCTGGTCCTGATTTAATGTCTCATGCACTGTTCCTGTGCATGTGACCGCCACCAGCTTAGTGTCAATAGACCAGGGGATCAGTGTAAATAGAACAGGTCACTCTTAGGTTTAAAACTCACCACCGTTTCCTTCCTCCAGTCCCCCAACGGCCACTCCTGCTCCCCTCTGCTTGGGCACTGCACACAGCTCTCTCCGCACACACAGAAGCCCCAGCAACATTGGGGTGTTTCTGCCTCATCGCTGCGCCCTCGCACATCCCCCTGCTGGGCCCCAGGCCCTCCTATAGCTGGTCCTTCCTCGCATTCTCTGGCCACCCCTCTAATGTGGCCCTCCCAGCCTCCAGCACGCCGCCCTGTGATACTTCCTTCATCACAAGCATCACTCTAGAATACTTACTTCTAACTTGTGGTTACTCCTCACCTGAGGATATTTTCCCATTGATTTTTAGTGAGAGTGGAAGAGAGAGGGGAAAACAGAGAGAAACATCCATGGCAGAGAAAAACAGCCATTGGGTTGCCGCCAGTTCATGCCTCGACCAAGGCTGGCCCAGGGAGGAGCCTGCAACCAAGGTGCGTGCCCTTGACCAGAATGGAACCTGAGACGCTTCAGTCTGCAGGCCAATGCTCCATTCACCGAGCCTAACCAGCCAAGGCTAGAATTGATTGGTTTGCATGCATGGCACCAATGTTCCCCGAGCTAGGCTGTGAGTTCCTCGAGAACAGGGCATTTGCTGTCTTGTCCCTCTCTTCTCAGAGGGTGCATGGCAGTGACTGGTTGCAAAACAGACAGCGCAATCAAAAGTTACTTGGGCTGGAAGAAAAATCCCTCCACTAGCAAGATCCCAGCTGCAGGAGAGAACGAAGTGGGGGGAGAGACTGTACCACTCCGAGCTCAGAGTCTAGGAGGGACTTCAGTGCGCGGGAAAGAGCGGAGAACTAACTCAATGGCACAGTCTTTAGGCTGCGCCCACTTATGCTCTCAAACCCCCTGCTGAGTGCCACCGCTTGATTCCCAGGCCGCTTGCTCGGCTTCTGTTCTGTTCCAGAATCAAGGTTGAGCCCGTGGAAGAGCCTTCAAAAGGTGCTTCAGCAAGTTCAAGTGAGGCACGTGGGCGGCCCCGGCTGCACTCTGAAAGGACCGGCCTGAAAGCGCTCTGCCACTCGAGACGCTAGACACGTGTGCGCACAGAGCGCTTTCAATTGCGTTGGAGAAGGCGAAGAGCAATTCTGCGGCACTCTGGCCTCCTGAGAGCCATCCAGTGGCTATGAGCTCTGTGGACAGCGGGGAATGTGGGTCGACAGAGGCTCTTTGAAAACGCGGTCCTGGAACGTCTGCATTCCCCAGGCCCAGCTGCGGGTCCCTGTCCTTGACAGCCCTCCCGCCCTGGGTCGACCGGGCACAGCGAGAGGCATTTACGGATGAAAGAATCTAAAGAGCACACAGCACGGAGGCGGCGGCAAAAGGCCCAGCAGCAGCTGCTACACTGTCACCTGCCATAACAAGATTGATCTGCAGCGAAATAAAAGGTAATGCAATCCAGAGGCAATAATGTGGGCTTCCTCCGAGAATGTCTGATGCTGTCCGCTGGCAAGCCTGCCTCCCTCTCCCGCCTGCCCCGGTGCACAGCGGCCCGCACAGGCACGGGGTCCCCTCACGCACGCACTCCCTGCCAGAAGCACACACTCGCAGAGCAGCATCTCAGCTCCTCTGAAGGCCCGGGCATCCTTGGACAAGCCAAAGCCAGCGGGGCCTGGACACCCACGGTGTGGCCAGGAGGCCAGAGCCACTCAGATGTGCCCCGTGTGGACGGGCTGCAGAGACGGCCCCGTGGCTTCTGTTCATCCAAAGCCACGTGGTTGTCTGGTGGTTGGTTTCCAGTCCAGTTCAGGGCCCCCCGGGTTTCAAGGGAACAGCCCAATTCTGGGACAGAGTTGCAATCTCAGAAGATGTGGCAGAGTCGTGTTCTGGATTGTCTGTGAGACACAGAACCCTCTGTCTTGGCCCGATGCGACTGTCACTAGTGCATTTTTACGGTCACATTTTCCTGAGCATTAATTTCACAGCGAGGATGGCCAGAAGCAAAGGGAGAGGAGGGGGGACCGTCTGGCACGTCCTTTGCCATCATTTCAGAGAAAGTCTCTCCATAGGAAAGGATCCTCCGAGGCTGGTGCCATGTAAATAATTCACAGGCGCCAGTTCCGTTCTCTCCGTTTGAAATCCTAGTAATCCATACTAATAAAAGACTAATATGCAAATTGGTCAGGTCTCCCTCACAGTAACGACCAAACAGCAGGCTTCGTGGGCAACCAGGCCAGTGGGGAGCAGAGGGTAAGCAGTGAGGGGCAACTGGGCAGGCAGGCATAGGCAGTTAGGGGCGATCAGACAGGCAGGTGAGCAGTTAGAAGCCAATGGTCCCAGATTGTGAGAGGGATGTCCAACTGCAGTCGGACCAAGGGGTCCCAGATTGGAGAGGGTGCAGGCTGGACTGAGAGGACCCTCCCCCATGCACCAATTCTGTGCACTGGTCCTCTAGTATCTTAGAAGGGGCCTGCCACCTGCCAGCGCACAGGGCACTGGGTGGCTGGCAGCTTCCGTCTCTGGAAGATGCTATTAGGCCTTGCCAGCCAGTGATTTGCAGATGATTATAACTTTTGCTCTGCATATCACTGTTACTGACAGGCAAATGCCATCCATCACACGGCATGACGGATTTAACAAGAAGGCCAACCTGACAGAGGCGGCCTGATAGGCCATTTCTTATGCCGGTGACAACAACCAGGGACGTTCCCACACTCCCGAAAGACGGTCAAAATGCAATCGTTTTGTGCCTCGAAAGGGGACATGCCATTCAGCTCTGGGCAGTGCTGGCAGTCTGGTCCTCAGCAAACAACCCACCTCCCTCCCAGAGTACCGCCCCACCCCCACCCCCAAGCTCCTAATCTGTCCAGGGGAAAAAAAACCAAAACACACAACTGCAGCCAAGGGCCCCGATGGCGCCCCTTTCATGACGCGAACGGGCGCGGCTCCTTCTCAGTTCTGCTCATCTGTCAGTCTCCAGCCAAATGGAACGCATTACTTGTCGCTTGCTGGGATTTATGAATTATTTATAAAAGCAGGTCTCTGGCTGCAGACTCTTAGAAGACAACGCCACAGTCCCCTCCCTGCTGCCCACAACCGAGCTTTTATCAGAGAGAGCAGGCCATCGGGGGGGGGGGGGGGGGGGGGGAAATAATAGTTGTGGAAATAGCAAGCCTTTAAGAGGACGCGGAAGCTATTTATGGAAAGCCTGGGTATATTTTTAAACCAGGCTCCTCTTCCGAGCCAGACTTGGATTCAAGAAAGACGCAGCAGAGTGCGCTACCAACATACCTCCCAGCTTGGACACACACAGCTCTTCCCCACCACGGTGCCCACTAGCTTCTGCCTGCGATAACAACGGGAATGAGGCCGGTCCCCTTGTATGGAGGTCTAGCAGGTTCAACAAGGTCATGCCCCTGAGTCTCCCTGGGCCCTGCATCCTATATGGGGATGAGGACACACACAATTCGGTGTGGAGCATTCAGACTCCAGCACCCAGAGCACGTGACCTTGGCTGGCCAAACAGACCAGGCACTCCCCGCCCTTGCCTGGCCCTGATTCTGGCCCAGGCCAAGTCAGAGGTGTGGGGGATGCATGGGTTGGAGGGCATGCAGCGACCAGCCAGCTGTGGTCTTGCCCACACCTCCAGGACAGCGGCACAGCTGTTTGGCAAAGAAATGCCCAGGTGATGCCAGCCTAGGGAGCCCTGACCAAGTTCAGCTGGCCCTCACGCAGGAGCCCCGAGTGATGGGGACTCCACCTGGCCCCTCCAGAGACACCTGCTCTTCGCCCATCACACGTCCCACAGCGCTCTGCCCCCTGCCAGGGGCTCCGCCACGAAGGGTCCCCAACGTCCCTGCCTCGGTTGTCCCGCTCCCACTGGTCCCCCAAACATGGTCCAGAGGGAGACCCGGAGGCCGGGTGGCACTGCAGGCCGCCTCTGGCCACTGTCCTCATTTTGCCTCCTAAAGCCCCCGTGACATACATGTCCAGAGAGAACAGGAAGCCCCGTGACCCTCTGCACACAGACTATATACCTTGGTTCCCCAAACAGCACAGCCAACAGGCAGAAGGCAGGGACCTTACCTTGCTGAAACACGTCTGCCAGGAGGGAGGAGAAACAGGGCAGGCGGGCGGGCAGGGAGAGAGAGAGGAGAAAAAAAAGAAATTAATAATAATGTTGACCATGACCATGACGATAATCATAGCGAGCGTATGCTGACTGCTTAAGCACTCTACGCATACGTAGTTCCTGTAACTCGGAAGCAGTGGTTAAGAGCTTGGGCTCTGGCACGAAACCGCCCTGGCTTGAATCCTTGGCTCGACACTTACTAACTCTGTGGTTGACATTCTCTCAACCACAAGTAGACAGGGGTATAGGGAAGATTAAACACATTGTGGCTGATGTTTGCAGGGCTCAGAACACTGCCTGTGACGTAGTAAAGGCATGCAGTCAGGTGGTTGATATTTTTAACACCCTTGTTTTCACAACCCTCTGTAGAGCAGGCTGTGCGATCATGCTCACTTTATGGAAGGGGTCACTGAGGGTCTGGGAGGTTGAGTAACTCACCCTAAACCACAGTCAAGTAAGTAATGGGCTCAGGAGTGAAGTCAAGTCTGTTGGATTCCAGAAACCATCTTCTTAAGCTACAACTAAGTTGCCTGGGCTGGCTTATAAGTAACAACAAAGCAACAAGGCCACACAGAAGGATAAACTGAGGAAGGGCCTATGAATCATATAAACAAAATATGGGAAAGTCCCCCACATCATAGCTCACAGCTAAGACCATGCCTTCCTCTGAAATGCTAGATCAAAGGTGAACAAAATGGTTTCAACGAAAACTCGAGAGGCTACTATATGCCAAGCGCTGTGTCTCGACTGGGAACCACACTGTGTCTGGACTGGGAACCACACAGTCACTAACACCACCACCCTGCCCCCAAGGGGAACCCTAGCTTGACTTCTAACACCTTACATTCGCTTTTACTATTTTTGAACTTTGTGTAAATGGACCGATTCCGTGTGAATTTGTTCTGTCTGTCTTCTTTGCTCCGCAGAGACTGTGGGTCCCCGCGCTGTAGCCTGTGGTAGGTCATTCATGCTCACCGCTGTATAGTGTTCCATTGGTAATGAGATCATCTTTATTTTTAAACTTTACGGAAGCATTTCTGTATTGTTCTCATTTTTAACAATGAACAATGTCTTACATTTATAATCTGAACCTTAAAGCAAGTTACTTTCATCTCAAAAACTGAGTAAGAACTGTATCACTGTATCATCAACATCTAAATTTGTGGTCAGCCATCCCCACCAAGTCATCAGCTCCTATAAGGTCACGGAGAGCCAAGGGCCCATGAATGAAATGTGTTGGACGAAATGTGACCAGGTGGGTGAGACAGACGGCACGGACAGTTTTCATTTCAACGGAGCACACGTGACCCTGTTCCATACACCTCCACCCAGGCCAGACGGCAGACACCCCGTTCCCAATCTCAGGGAGCTGGCTAACACGGCACCCTTTCTCTCACACTCATCAACACCAACTGGGATGTAAATGGCCCATATTGGTACCTTTATGGGACATCAACTGAGCTCCCATTTACATATGCAATATGTCATTCTCTAACCCGTCATTCATCATGAGCCCCAGTCATTCATCAAAAGCCACTCACCTCCCATCCCGGACACTGCCTAGGGCCTGAGAAGAACCAAGTACAGCTCCCTCAGCAAACCACGGTCATGGGCACCTGGTGTCTCCAACAGAGAGTCTGCACCACCTACTGGGACCAGCCTGCTCACCTGCAGGAGCCCTCCTCCTGGCCTTCAAATGTCATAAGCACTGCGAGGTTCCCTAGAGCTTATCCCTGTAGCGAGGGAAGTCAGTTTCCACCTCTGTGCTTCCTGTGTAATGTGTGCGCATTGCAATTACAGCTCCTATTATAATTAGTTATTTATGTGGACCCTGAGCGCCTGAGGACAAGGGCTAAGTGTCTTCCTCACTCTAGTGGGCCCTAACTGCCTGGCGTGGTACGCTCCCACACCAGCGAGGAGGAGAGAGGGCCGATCTGTCTCAACGCCTACCTAGTCCAACCCCCTCATGTTACAGGTGAGGAGCCTGAGTCTCAGAGACGGGAGAGATTCTTCCCAAGGCCACATACCTCGGCGCTAGAGGCAGAGCCAGGACGACAATGAGATCCATTTAACCTTAATGAAGCACGAAAGCTCGTCCCTATTAGCAAAGCACAAATTCAAGATTTATCATGCTCCTCTAATGAATACAGACAAAAATTTCCAACCTTGGAAACATCATGAAATGTGATTAGTCTTTCAGATACGGATCCAGTCTGGACATCTGTCCACAGACCTCACCCTCCTCTCCGTGGCTTTGGCAGGGAACACGTCCTTCGAAATTCAGTACAGATTGGAATCACTGGAAAGCATCGGCGAGTGGGCAGGGAGGGAGGAAATCGGGGCAGGGATGTTGGGACCTTATTCCTTCCAAATCCACTGGGTATTCCATGTGTTAGCAGACAAATCTACACAAATACTATTCTTGTCTTCTCCAAAGAAACCTCGCTTGATTTCCAGAGGAGCTATTTTAGATTTCTAAAGGAACCCTTTTTCAGCTTCATTGACATTTGCACCTTTTTATTCAAATGTAAATTTTAATAAACACCGGTATAAATATTGCAACAATTTTGCCCATGAGTTATCTTGTAATTTACACTGTAAATTTATGTCTTCTGTAGTCTGTGGCATAAATCATTTTGTTCTTAGCATCATTTAGCTCTTTGTTCTGTATACTAATGGCTTGGGTTCCTCCTTTAAAATATGATTTTCCCCGACTGAGCCAGCCATCCAGGCTCAAATGACTTATGGACAGAAGAGCAGAAAATAAGTGAGAAGATGGTTAAGTTTTGTGCTGCTTGGCTACCTTTTACAACCCCTCCCCCCTCCCCCACTCCCCTACACCCAAGCCTCCAATTGCGAGCCTCACACAATATTAGCCACAAAAATACCCTCACCATCTTCTTCACGGGGCTTCATGCCCAACACGCCCATCTCCAAAACCATAGGCACCAATCCCTCTAAAAGACCTCACAATGGAGTGTGATCTTGAAGTCTAACCAGCCCCTCGGACCTACATGGGAGTCAGTCATCCTCTGAGCTTGAGTTTCCTCATTGCTGAGGGCCACAACCCTGGTGCCCAGAGGTTAGGTCAGAGGATTTGCAGGAACACATTCCCATCCATGGCTGTGGGGAATCTCGCAAGAAGAAGATGTCTGCTCTCCCCAGAAATGGAAGTCACAGGAGCTCAGAGCTGGGAGCTTCCACCCTAACCACAGACAGGTTGCGCCCAGAGCCCTCCAGGGACATTGTGGAGAGGAAATGAACTCCTTCGGACAAAGCTCTGCTCTTACTCACTTCCCCAGGGAGACAACCTCCCAGCCCAGTCCTTCAGGGGAACAAAGAAGGCCTGTTCTCCAGCCCCACCCCCACCCCCCAGAGCCAGGCTGGTCCTATAGATAGATGAAAAGCCAGGGGATAAGTCAGTGACCACAGATGTGGGAAGGAGAAAGGGGGAAGGAGGGACTGGAGATGAGCCTCTATGTCTAGTTTCTTCAACAAGGAATGAACATCAAGGATGCCCGCCCTCCCCCATCCCTGCTGAGAGATTCATACCCCAGAGATGTTTAATGCACGGAGTCCTCCAGAGACAGAGGCTGTACAAAGACTGGATTATTTATTAGTATTAATAAGTGATGGCAATTAGGCCGGGGGAATTCCTCAACACTGCTGATTAAAAACTTTCTGGAGCACCGCTCATCCGCATGGCCAGTGTTTACCTCTATTAAAAATGATTTAACTCCACCGGGTGAGCCTCTCTCCTGCTCCGGGTTAATAATCAGCCGCACGCAGAGCCACACGGGTTAAGTAAGTGGGCGCTCCTTTATTTATCTGCGGCTTTGTTTTATGAGCAGACCTGGATGGCCGTCTCACTGCCCCTTCGGTCTGCTAGGAATAATTTACTATTTCGATCCACAGTCTGTAGCGGTGATGGTCAGGGATGCTCTCACTGTTATTACATATCACACTTAGCAGTAACGGCAGGCCCCACCGTGCACGTGTGGCCGACTTCCGTTAAGACGGGAGGAAGCCAAAGCTACGGGGTCTCAGACAATGTAATCACACGCTCTCTCACGTTTGCTTTCTTTTCTGGGGTAAATTATATATGAGGGGAGTTTGGTTTCTTGAAAACGCATGCTCTTAACTCCCATTTAAGAACTCTCACCTGGGGAGACAGCTGTCTTGTGAGTGCCCCTGTGGTTTGAGCTGAAGAAAAGTCTCAAGTATGAGTGCTTTTACGGTAAAGCATGGTAACTTCTATGAGGATCCAACTCACCAGGGGCAGAGGAGAAGAGGGAGGGAAGAGTGGAATGAATGCTGATTCCCAGAGTAGGGTCCGTGTCACCATGAGCCATAGTCAACTTCAAGATGGGCTAGGTGGCCCCCTCACCAAACTTCAAAGCCCAACTGGCTCTATACATGGATATGAAGAATACCAGAATGCAGCCTGTGGCTTTTGTGTCCTGCAAGTCCCCGAGAATGAAGTGGGTCCCTCCAATCCCTCCCCCTCTTGGTAAACGGTGGCACTCCAGAGTAGATTCCCACTGACAAAGCCTAACTTTGTCAATGGGATTCTACTCTGGGGTGCCACCATTCACCAAGGTCCAAAAATGGCAGTGCCACCATTCACCTAGGTCCAAAAATGGCAGGTGGGCTTCTCAGGGAGAGCAGGGTTATCTCCTTCTCTCTCAGATACACTCCAGGGCCATGTCACCACATGATGGTGGCCACTGGATCCCATAACCTAAGACTGGGTCCCAGCTCCTCGTGACATGGAAACCTGGGGGGCATCTTGTAGCCTATGTTCTCATCTAATAAGAGGGGATAGCTGAGACACGTTTTGTCCTACCATAGGGCTATCATGAAGGTCAAGACAAGTAATTGAATCAGCGTAGAGCCCAGGGACTGAGGAGTCCAACACTAGGTTCAGATCTGGGCTCGCTATTTCACCCCTCTTGATCCCCCTTCCTTT